CTTCAAGATAAAATAACTTCGTAAAAAATCGTCGAATCGAGATGTTTAATAAAGCATTTTAAAGCTTGAAATCTCTACTTTTCAGACTCGTACTTCAAAAAACGGTCTTACTGATATTTCGTGAAGTTACACAAACTTAAATAAAAGTGCGTCAAACCTAAAAATGTTTTACGATATTTGAAAAGTTCCAATGCACGAAATAAAAATTGTGCATAAATGTAGTTTACATCGTTCGAAATCTTTATTTTGCGTTTTTACGAAGCTCCGTACAATTTTTTTTCACTGATTTATTCAACGTTGTAGTAAAAGGGTCATTTTTGCTTCAACGTTGAATAACTCGGTGAAAAAAAATCGTACGGAGCTTCGTAAAAAAGTAAATTAAAAGTAAAGGTTCGATCTTTCGAGTAATGTAAATCGCATTTACATACAATTTTTAGTCCGCTCCGTGGAACTCCGCAAATTTCGTAAAAAATGTTGAGATCTGATATATCTTCATTTATGTTTGTGTAACTTTATAAAATCTCCTTGAGACCACTTTTTCAAGTAGCGATCTGAAAAATAGAGGTTTCAAGCTGTAAAATGCTTTTTTAAACATCTCGATACGATGATTTTGGCGACGTTATTCTATCTTGAAGTCTGCCTATTTTTGCAGAGTGAAACAGGTGTTGCGTTAATTTTCTTGCCCAGTGTATATATATAGTACATATAATATATAATTATATAATATATAATGTAACTGAAGCACCGACAGCTAGTTTAAATAAGACAGGAAACACATAGACTCTTGCATAGCGCATAACACATAATGCATAAGTAAATGTAGCACTCAAAGTCCTTCGTTTCCTTCCTTCCCATGAAATAAAGAACTCTGATTGGTTGAATTTTTTATATGTTATGTGTTATGCGTTATGCAAGAGTCTTTGCTCTCCGCTTAAATCGTCAAAAAAGAAGCAAGCAATCTTAATTTAAGAAAAAGTTATAGACAGTATTTTGAAAACGTCTTGACGTTCAGCTATAAGAATATGCAATAATATATGTATATGCAACATATAGGTTCCCATTTAAAAAATTCAAGTCGATCTTAACACGATCTTAATACGACGCCAACCAAGATTAATCGCATATGCCCATGTAATGCATTTGATCCCCAACAATTTTTGTTGAAACATTTTTCAAAATAATCATTTCCCTCATTTTAAATGGGATGTACGGATGCTCTTTGACAATTTTTGGCTGTAGTTCAAGGGGCAGATTTAATCTAGTGTAATACATAAAAATCTGTGGCTAATACTTGCTGATCGTATAACATCGCTAGCGTTTCTTGCACCAAAACCTAATAATACATAGTACACTATTTCCACTCCGCATTCAAAACAACGATAACAACGTTGTCTTCATGAACACGATACTCAATAATTAATTATTTAGCCGACAGAAATATTAATATCATACACATACGCGCATCGTTTATGAAAATTTTACTGTGCACAGAGCAGCATGGTAATTGATTATGTCCAAAGGTGTTATTTTTGTTAAAGCACTAAAATTGCTCATTATATATATATAGTGAATAGTACGCGTCACCGCCGATAAACAGACGGAGTTCAGTTTTCTTACATTTAAAAAATAATCTAGTATAAAATGAAAAGTACAGCATTATGCCTATGCTACACTATTTATTGAAGATTGTGGATTGTGATTTAAGAATTGGAATTCAGCCAATCAAAACAAAACAGATTGAAATTAAAATTGTCTGATTGGCCGAATTCTAATTTTCAATTCACATTTCTCAATCTCCAATGTGACACGAGCATTACGAGATCGATCATCGAGTTTAAACTGAGATTTGTAGACGAAAGATAATTAATGGAGAGAGATACTTTTATAGTATAGTCTTTTAGTTGTATATATATAATTTTTATTATATGTAGTTTCATAAAATGTGTTTAATTCATACAATATTTAAATAGAAAGTAATATACCTTTAACAGTATTCAATTGTTAACTTCTTCGGCGATATATTCTTCCATTCTGGAGAATAACGCATATCTTTAACTTATTTAAAGGTCATAACATGTCTGGAGTGGATGGTAATAGTACGGAGGGAGAATCCGCATGTGGCCGTGGACCTGCTCAGACTGGACCCGGTTGTTACCGCAATTATGAGCATTACAGTCTATCGCGGCATCGGCGCAGTACATCTAACGCTTGTTTCCCGAATTTATCTAATGATCTGCCTACTACGCCTAACAGCCCAAATCGTCGGCTCCTCGATTTTGTCCAGAATGTACCGAATACCCAGAACGATGACTTCTATCAGGACAAAATACCAGCGCAACATGCTAACCAGGGGAATATGACTTCTAACGTAAGTTCAAACATTTAATATGTATTCATATACTACATATATCTTTATATTTGCGTGTACAGATATCTCGCGTAAAGTACACGGTAAGGTCTGAGCACAGAATTACCGTAACACATTATGACAGAGCCAGGGTTGGGTAAGTTGATGTTTTTTTTTAATTGAATAAAGTTAAAGTTAATTGACATCGATTCGACGTCGATTCCATTGTCATTTCTCACCGGGTAGTCTTATTATATCTTGTTATTTTTCTAAAATATTTAAAAGACATTAAAAAATTTTTTAACTAAAAAAAAAGGTTATAAAGTTAACGTTTAAAAGTAACTTAGTTAAGTTAAAATTTAATGCATTTAAAATTAACTAAGTTAAGTTAAAAGTTATTAACTTTTTAACTTTTTTTTTTAACTTTTAACGTTTTAATTAGTTACTACCCAACCCTGTGACAGACTTAAAATGTAGACGTAAGGAACGCACAATCTTTGGCGTATGACGTTGGAACTAATGGACATCGCTACATTTCTTGATAGCGTGCTACCACGTGCTATATAAGCAAAAGTAAATAATCTAATCGTTTGTAAGCAAGTAAAAAATAATCTTGTTAATTATCCTGAAAGTCTTAATGTCTTACGGTAATCTTACGGTGCTCAAACCCGTATAGTTTATCGCTGCGCTTATTTAGCGCTAAGACTTGTGTCGTTACTTGTTTGATTATACACTTTGATAGGTCATGGCCGTCAATAAGGTTATAGTAAATTTCGGATCGTAATGAAATAGCCCAATGGCATAACTTGGTTTGGAAAAATTCCTAGAGCCAGTTCACATCTAGTGACTTATTTACATTATTTTTGTTGGGATTCCTTGGAGCACTTGGCTGGGAAATTCCCACTGGAAATCTGAACGCATTCATGGATGTTTTTTTTTTTATGTAACAATATTCAATAATTGCATTTAGCGGACTCAACAGTTGAATGAGCGTTATTTTTTTCACTGTTATTGGTGTATTCTTTTAGATCATGCAATCAGAATTTTAGATCTAGAAAGATACATCAATAGCAGCGAACGCTCACTCAACTGTTGAGTCTGCTGAACGCAGCTAATGATTGTTTAGAAAGAGCGGGATAAAAGTTGATATAAAAGTATAAAACAGGAAACTCATTATTATGCCGTTATTAAGGAAGAAAGAAAACTAAGATATATATAAGTAAATATGATTCTAATATAGTCGGGTAATTATTTAAAATATCCCTCCTTAATAAAACCATACTCATTAGAGTATACTATTAATGCAGAGAATTCGCGTGCTTAAAATAGTGAATTGTTGTTTTTAAAGCAGATGAATTTGTGTTTGTGTTTGTAAAGCAGAGAATTTGTAATTAGAGCAGAACGTATATATCGAACAGCGCTGTATCGAACTGAGATGACAGATATCTTAACTTCTAAAATCTCGAACTTTAACGTTTAATAACTCAATTCACGATACCGAATGCGGTGTTTTTCTGCCAGATTCATTCACTTCGTGCAAACACGCTTTGAATGATCCCAATTTTATCAAAATCGATGAGTAGCTACTGCATAATTACAAAAAAGCGTAACGAAAAGTAACAATTTTTTTATCGTTACTTTTAAGTAACGGTAAAACGCGTTAACTCTTTATCTCTATTAGAATAGGTAACGAGTAACGGTAACAAGTTACTTTTAAAAAGAACTTTTCCAACACTGGTCCATACGTTTATGATTTATAAGTTAATATTAATTATGAGAAAACACAAAGTGTTCCATTTGATTTTAATAAGCTCGGATACGAAAAAATGAAAAAATATGACTTACGCGTTTTTATTCATTGCTAAGTTGTACGTTAAGGACGTGAAAGTCTCTTGAAAAATTCGATCTTTTCCTTCCAAAGTGAATATCACCGTAACTGGGAGCGTCCAGGTTGACCACGTTGCGATTGACCACAACTACTCACAGCGGCAGGAACTTTTCATTGTTCAAGCGCCGTGGGTGGCTGGTAGTCAATTCACAACGTGGTCAAATGAATGACATTCGCTGAAACACAGAGTTAAAGAAAAAATATATATATTTTAAATAAAAGTTGAATGATTTAAAAAAATACCTAATGATTGCAAAAAAAAAAGATTTTTTATTCTTTATTTTTTATGTACTAGCACATCCCACCCATGATATTCAAAATTAAAAAAATTTTGTGACAACATTTAGAAACATTTTACGTAAATAATGAGCCGTAATATTATCAAATCTTATAGGATCGTGAGAATTAAAATCAATGAGAAACAAGCCGTAATGGTCAAGCCGGATTTTGGCTGCTTCTACAATCGCGTGTGAATTTATACTATGTGACCGTAATTCGCGAGCAACGGCACAACTTCGTCGCGTCCTCTGTAACTCTAATTATGCGATATAGCTCTGTATTCACTTTTACTTTACACAATTTACTTTAAGGAGCATAGAGTGTGGTTCTTCTTTAAATTTGTATATTATTACGTACTTTGCGTTATTCGACAGCTTACGTTAATCGACAAAGATCTCACTTGCCGTCATGGCACAAAAGAGCGTGCCAGACTTCACACAATTTTACTATTTACAATTACTACTTAAACCTTTGCGTTTGAGCGTCATGGCACGTGCTCGAATACTTTAGCACTACAATTGGTCGGTACGACATCGGTCGCTCGCAATTCGCGTAAATCGTTAACGCACACAAAATATCGCGATTGGTGGTTTTATAATTCTAATCTTACGATTACGCTCGTCTCACCACGATAGCTACATCCTCAACAATACGATAGCTTCAATAGCCCAGAGTTTCTCTCGATCACAGTTAGGAGATCCTGCGTCCCTCTGACAATGTACTCGGTCACCACACAATAAGTGTCGACCAGAAGCTTCCGCGGATCCACGCAGATCGTAAAGCTTGTGTCACCCTACGGACTGTGGACGCGGATCGGATTGAGATTGCGGATTGCGCATCGAAATTTAGCCAATCAAGATAAAGCTGCTTCGTCTTGATTAATTGTCTTGGTAATACGTGCGCTAATAGGTAATAATACCGCTAATAGCGGTAATAGGTGCGCTATCACGCACACTACTAGACGCGCGGCTCACGTCCGTTTAAAACACGGCGTCAGTTGGATTATCTTTACTCGATAATAACTGCTTCGGTAAGGCATGGTGTAAAAAATTTCCTAATAGTAATCGACTGAATTTTTTATCAGGAATAACGCTATATGAATGCTGGGCGGTATTTTGGAAACACTCTGTATATATATGATGTAGTGATGTATCGGTCATCGTAAATCGTTTGTGTGCAAGTCCCATCGAATCAGTAAAATAATGATTCTGTCGGAATTCAGTCTTCACTTTAAAATCCCCTTAAGAGGCTCGACGATTCTACTAATTTAATTTTACTTGCAACAAAACTTGTCTAAAACTTTATACACATGTATATTGTATATTGTAGTTTTAATATGCGTCAAAATACAATATATTAGTATTCTTTTTGCAACTGTAACTATTGTATAAAGAAGGAGTCTGCATAAGGTCGGTTTTCGGCCCTATTTAAGAGAGAACAAAATATCCTTTTTTTTTATTAAACAGTATCATTTGTTGATTATTACTCCGTATATTTGCGTCTATATAATGTGGTGTACGTAAACGTAGTCCTAGATAACCTTTTTGTAAGCAACGGGATCTATACTTACAAGGGAACGGTCGGAACAGTCCTTCATCCATTTTGATGCACTTTAGATATCTTATAGAGCATCAAAAAGTATTCAACCAATATTATTTTATAGCTGTTTAGGTCTAGGAGGTGAAACACCCCCACGAAGATAATGGATTTTTTCGTTTTCAGCGAATATCTTCGAAACTATACCGCGTATGAATTAAAAAATGTTTTATACAAAAGTTTTACAGTATTTTATGCTCCATATAATAGTGTATTCATTAAAAAAAAATGAAATTTTTTAATTAACCCTGATAAGTGGGGGTGGGGGTTAATTAAAAAATTTGATTTAAAAAGAAAATGAATACATTATTAGAACATAAAATACTGTAAAACTTTTGTATAAAGTATGTTTTTAATAAGGCTCAATAAATTTAAAAATAATGAAAAAGAAAAAGGGCTACGAGAGAGCCAAAAAATTTTGTACAATGTAAAACATTTTTTTATACGCGGCATAGTTTCGAATATATTCGCTGAAAAGAAAAAAATACATTTTCTTCGTGGGGGTGTTTCACCCCCTAAAACTTGAGATAAACCGTTATAAAAAAATACTGATCGAATATTTTTGGATGCTCTACAACATATCTAAAGCGCGTCAAAATCGGTGACGGACTGTTCCGACCGTTTCCTTGTTAGAGTTATATAATTGATACGCGCAATGAATATTAGTTAATTACATTTCTGTCACAATGAACCGATTTCAATCGAGAATCATCTGATGACGACTGTCTCTCTCACGCACTTGGTGTCGCTATGTTACAGGCAATATCCGACAGCACGCGTTGACCAACATCGTTGAACGAAGCTACCGAGAGATACATTCGTCACACATTTATTCGTTCACACGCAAATTAACTACTGCTCTAACATGTTGGACTTTGTCAAGTCCTATCGACTCGTCCAATCAACAATGCCGATTCTCTTCGCTAAGTGTACACTCCTTCCTTCCGGATATGAACAGTTTCTGCTTTTCTCAACGGAATGCTTTTCTCAACGGAAAGAACACACATGTCGGATCATTCATGAGACAAAACGGGAAAATTAATAAACTGATGTAAACGCGGAAGTTGTGTCAGCGCTGATCGACGACTCGAATCGAAAATTCGCGATCAATAGAAGGTCAGATATAAACTAGGAGTTGTTTTCATTTGCAATGAGAATTTTGTAAAAGGTTTCCTAAGGTTCTTTATGTTTACATTTTCTAAATACCGTGAACGTCTAAAATAGTCTATATTTTATTTGTACTTGACTTTCACGTTTA